CACACAATCTAAAATTGACGAGATAATTCTCACAATGCTCCAAAGAATCAATGAACTCCACGAAGCGAAAGGAAGATCTACTAGATATTAATTAAATTATAAATATATCAATTCATGTGAATATGACTGAAAAATTTTATTTTTTCTGAAAAGGTGGTGTCTATTTATTTGTGACCACGCTGTGTATATGACATTATGTGTGTAATATATCTATATAATACTTTCGATAAGCTTTTGTTTTTTTATATTTCGGTTAATCATTTTTACGTTTCTTATACAATAAAAAAGACACCGAAATGTGTTAAATTTTCTTTGAAAATTATGAATTTTCATTCGTACGGAGCTGCTTAGAAGCATCAACTGTTAGAATAGGTAGAAGTAAATAAGAGCCTGTGGTGGCTTTGCTTATTGACTCATTTCTTTGTTTTTAGCCCAAACTTACACAATAGGCTATCTATGTTCTGTCCACCGTGGGGTATCGAACACCGGATTTTAACGTTGTAAGTTCGTATACTTAACGCTGACCCACCGGGAGATTCTTATTGACTCATTGCAGTATTTGCGCAAAGAAAGAAAAATAAAATCGCTGTGACTTTACCATGGCTCAGATATGTGTAACATTATTCGATAGGCTACAGATAAATTTATACCAAGATCGAGACTTTAAATAAAGCTTTTGAAATGCTTTATACGTTAATTTAACATGACACATATACCACTGGAGATCGCTATGAAAGACGCTTTCTATGTTGTTGTTTCGGGAATTATTTTGTTAATTGTATGCACGTGCTTCTCTGGCCTTAGTGAATTCTTGGTTATAATACTGACAGATGAGATTATTACTTTAGAAGGACAGAACTTGTAACATTACTGTATTTCTTAAACGACTGACTTAATAACGCCCGTATGTAATTTGTTTTAATCGACTGCGTTAGCTCACATTCATTCACCGTAATTGGATGTGAAAAAAAAAAGCCTTACTAAGGCGTGATGTTTTAGTAACAAACTCAGTGTGTAGGTTGTTTATAGCCCGTTAACAGTGTGCAGAGAACCAACTGTCACCAACACATGCGTGAAGCTATCATGAAATCGCTGTCACAATTAGCGAACTTAATGTCAGCCCCGACGTTCTTGCTTAATGTTTTTATATTATTTTTACAGTAGTTTTGCAAAGTGCTGAACTTATTTGTTTAATAGCTTTTTAAAGGTGCTTTGTGAAAATAAAACTAGGAAATTGGGGTTGAAACTTTCCTAATCCTACCCCAAAAAGGCTTCTGTTGTTCGGAGCCTCCCGTTGGCTTAGTGTTAAGCCCGAGGGCTCTTCACGCTAAAAATCGGGTTCCCATACCCGTGGTGGGCAGGGCACAGACAGCCCTCAGTGTAGCTTTGTACCTAATAACATACAAACATGTTCTTCGGTATTAGACTTGTAGCATGTATCATGTTTTTCTTAATAATGTTTGTTAGGCAGCGTTATCTTGTCATTTAGCTTTCTATTTTTTGACAGGACCAAGATAACGTGAAAAGTTTTAATTAATATTGTTTGTTTGAAATTAAGCACAATGGGCTATCTGTGCTCTGCATACCACGGGTATCGAAACCCGGTTTCTAGCGTTGCAAGTCCGCAGACATACCGCTGTGCCACTGGGGGCTAATTAATATTGATAAACTAACTTGTTTTTAAATTCACTTTTTGATAATTAATGATATGATTTCAGTGTGGCATTGTTTGGTTGTCTTGTACCCTGTAAGATTTGAATTGTTCATTCTATTGACACTAGTAGCCTAGCAACATGGGACTGAATACAGGGTTCTTACGTGAATCTAGTCGCCCAGCAACTTGTGATTGAATACAGGGACTTGCGTGACGTCCATTATCTAGAGACATGCCACTGTATACAGGGTTCCTACGTGACACTGGTTGCCTTGCAGCGTGGGGTTGAATTCAGAATTATTACGTGAAACTGGTTGCCTAGCAGTGTGGGGTTGAATACGGAATTATTACGTGACACTCGTAGCTTAGAGACATGGGTTGAACACGAGGTTATTACGTGACATTGGTTGCCTAGAGAAATTGAATTTTATACTGGGTTATTACGAGACATGGGATTTAATACGGAGTTGTTATGTGTAAAAAAATAAAAATGACCAGCATCCTATCTGTAGGTTTATTTAGCCTTTTATTTTGTACAGAGGGGGAACCAGACTAAAGATTGCGCCACTATTGAAGTGATCGTTAATATATAATTATATTTAACATAGTTTTCTCATTCTGAATTTCTTTTCTCCAGGTTTACAGTTTACCCTAATGGCTCCTTAGCTTTGTTGAGAGTGAGAGATGGAGATGAAGGAATATATCGCTGTGTGAGTGTCAGTGCTTCTGAAGACGACCCTAAACAGACCTATGTGGCTTATTTGAGAGTTGCATGTACGTATGTTTAGAGTGATACATACTTTTGTGGATAAATGGATACATATTCGTTATCTGCCAGTTGTCCAGACTCTTTTCTTGTGTTTTTTGTGAAAGCTGTTTGTTTGCTTCTCTCTCTCTCTCTCTTTAAAATCGTTAAATGAAATTATAAATGTTTGAATTTAGAGTGGTTTTAATAACTCACAATATATGACGCCTAAGTCATAAAATTTAGAATTTTAGTTTTTCGTACGAAGAATTAAATTTCGTGGTTTAATTCGAGACAAGAGGTTTCTTGGTTTAACTTGACATAAACATTGAGTCACGTTTTTTTTTTCTAATCGTTATAAACAACTAAAGTATAAAATAACTTGTTTCTTTGGATTAATAAACAACTGGAGATTAATTGCTCGCATAAAATCGTTTCAGTTCTTCGTGACATCACAGAGGATTCTTTTGAGCCCCCAGTAAATCCACACGAAAAGACCGTTGTTCCTCGGAATGGAGTATTTGAGATCATGTGTAATCATCCAGTTGGGCATCCAAAACCAAGACTCTGGTGGGAAGGACCCGATGGTCATGTGATCAGTGACGCAGGCCATGTAAGAGTTGACGATACCCGACTTATAATTGATGTCGTCACAATGTCCGACTCCGGCAGTTACAGTTGCATAGCAGAGAATTTGGCAGGCCAAAAACGATACACCATCGATCTGTATGTTTCAGGTAATCTCACAGGGAATTCCGTGTTTGGAATAGGTTTTACCCAGAACATAGAGTTGTTTGTAATTGAATTAAGAATTGCGTGTGAAAAGTACGTATTTCAGAACTACTTTATGAGAAACTGCGTTTTCAGATGTGTCATGTATTCATTTGTTACTATTATCATGCCTGTGTAGAGCTTGAAACTTATCGTGTAAATCGTGGTAAAAATCGAGAAATGTACTAAAATATTGATTAGAATCACCCCAAAGTACTTCGTAAATATGGTAATCTCTTTGAGGTGGCATTCTTAGATAGATAAAACAAGTACCTTCTAATATTTCACGGTACAGCTGTTCGTATCCCACCACTAGAGGGCGCCATAAACAACTGAAGTTTGGTTTGTTTGGAATTTCACACAAAGCTACACCAGGGTTATCTGTACTAGCCGTCCCCAATTTAGCATTGAAAGACTAGAGGGAAGGCAGTTATTCATCACCACCCACCGCCAACTCTTGGGCTACTTTTTTACCAACGAATAATGGGATTGGCCATATAATGGGATTGACATTATAACGCCCTCACGGCTGAAAGGGGCGAGCATGTTTTGTGGGACGGGGAGTCAAACCTGCCATAACAACTGAGGACTACCAATTGAAAGTATTTTGGGAATAACTTTATATTAAAACCAAAAATACTCTCCAATATTTTAGTAAAACTATCGGCTGGTTTAATCTGATTATCGATCTTACCTGATTTTTTTTTAATATGGCGTCAATATACATTGTTCTAATGATTTGAAAGTTCCAAAAATTTTGAATTTGCATCAATAATTTTATCCAGGTCTGAGTATAAAAATCGGGTTACAAGCGTTCTTCACATATGCACTATACTACAAAAATATTGAATACAAGTCTAAAGAGGTTAGATTTTCATTGTATAGGTCACTGGTTAAGCCACATATGGAGTATTGTGTTCAGTCTTGGGCTCCTTACCTTAGGAAAGACATTGAATTGTTGGAAAAGGTTCAGAAAAGGATTACTAGAATGGTGCCTTGAATCGAGGGATTGTCATACGAGGAGAGGTTGAAATCTCTCAAACTGTTTTCTCTTGAAAAAAAGAAGTTAGGGGATCTGATTGAGTTGTTTAAGATTGTAAAGGAAATTGATAGTGTTGATGAACAATCTTTTTTCATATTTAACAATGAGAATAGTAGGACTAGGGGACACATATATATTTTGGCAAGGTAGGAGTCATCTTCAGCTAAGACAGTTTTATTTTTTTAACAGGGTGGTTGATCTTTGGAATGGGTTACCTTCGGATGTTGTGGAGGCAGTAAATTTAAATGAGTTTCAGAGAAAGCTTGATAAGTATATGAATGATAAAGGTTGGCTTTAAGATTTTAAAAATTTATTTACTAATAGTTTTAATTCAGTTTAGAGGATGGAACAGCCGAGATAGACCAATAGGTCCCATGTTGTCCCAAAATGTTATGTTACTAAGCCATACCGGTGCGGTAAGTATCCAATATAAAGGAAAACTTTCTGTCTGTCTGTGGACGCATATCTTCTTAAACGAGTTAACCGATCCAGACAAAACTTGGCATGCTAACTTAATAGTCTAAAAGCAAACCAACTTAATGTTAAACCTTCTCCGTATTGAAAAATATAAATATTTTATAGAATAACCCGTATATCGTTACTGCAGTAAATATTGTGAATAGTTGAATTTGAACAAAACTCACACCACAACAAAATTTTCTACGAGTCAAAAGATTGTAAGTAAAATTTTCAGCATCTTGGCTTGTTTCCCATAATAACCAAAATATACGATAATAAAATATCCAGCTACAAAATGGAGAATAAAGATATTGCTGCTGTTTAAGTTTCCCGCTCTTTTCTGATCACCACCATTTAACTTCCGGTTTATACTAGGGATAGAATAAGCGTTTAAGCCAGAATTAGAGATGTATTTCATAATTAAAATATGTTTATGATATGTCTTCCTTCTTTATGTAGAATATAGTTTTCCGTAAAAGCAAAATGCAAGGTTATTATTAAATTTCATGCATTAAATGTACCAAGTTCAAACAGTAGAAATCTTGACCATATCTCTACTGTAAAATGGGCTGCCTTGCGCAAGAAGTGACGCAATTGCTTTGCCATTTCTGCCAAGTTTCTCGACTCGACTACTAAACCTTCTCACTTCCGATCCACTTCCTCTGGCTAATGAAAATCCTCGCATAGATTTTGCTCATTCTTAGCAAATTTGTTCCTATTTTCCACGTTTTCAATAGAAAAAAAGACGAGGAGTGTAGTCTCCTTAAAATAACCTACAAACCTTTTAAGGTAAACATTTATAGTGCCTTACAGAAGCTTCAAAAAGAAAGCCCATTATAGACTGAGAGTTCACTTTTACTTGTAGACTTTCACCAGATCTGTCGGGCTTTCACCAAGGGCAGAGCTGGGTATGCAGTTTGCCTCTCAAAAAATTATTCAAACTGCACGTCTACTTAAATCGAAGTCTGAATGTATAAACGCAGCACTATCCTTAATGACCGTCTGACAAACGAACAGAAGTTGCAGCTGGCATAAAAGCCTGGTGGTTAGGGCGCTCGACTCGCAACCTGCGGGTCGCGTACTCGCATATCATCACTGAATATGCTCGACCTTTCATTAATCCCACTTTCTGTTGGTAAAAGAGAAGCCTAAAAGTTAGCGGTGAATGGTGTTGACTAGCTGTCTTCCCTTTAGTCTGCCACTTCTAAATAAAGAGCGGCGAGCACAGATAGCCCGCGAGTAAGTTTGTGCTAATTCAACAAAACAAGCAAATCGTCTAACACGGACAGAAGTTTCGGCGACAGGTTCTTGATTGTTGTGATTTTAGAGCGACATTTGACCTCCTAAAATTGTATTTAATCACTTAGCATATAGAATATCCTATATAGCATATAGGATAAAGTGTGATTTAGCACAGTTTATCTTTCTTGACAAATACTGCGCGAAATGAGAATACCATACGCATCCATGGTAGACTTAAATCCTGGCATTCAAGGCATTTATAACTACAACGTATCCATTAAAACTTGCTTCTTTTAATTCAATACATTACGTTGTGTGTATGAATTATTTGTAGTTAAAATGGCTCAAAATTCAATTTCATAGCATTAAATTTTTAAAAAATTCTGGGGGCGCATGTCCATAGACTCCCCTAGAAATGCAATGTGACAATGGCCTGACCATTCAAAAATTGCTTTCTACTGCAGTACAGTAAGTACATCATCGTTTATAGTTAGTACAAAGTTTTAAACTTGTTTTGTACATCAAGAAGACATCTTCTACTATGTAAAGTAATAATGAAGCGATGTGCGTGTGTTCTGCCTGGGAGCGCAGAAAGCATGGGACACACATAATAAATGACCTGTCAACTACATGCTGCATGTATTAGCCCGTAGACAGCAAGGGTCCAGCTGTGGAAGCTAATCATCCTATCCCAGGAGTTCCGTAGGCCGTACACCGAATCTCGTTAGGCTTAGAGGATTTAGAGAGTTATCAATGGAAACAATATCCTGCGGTGTCATTTGGAAATAGCAAGCTGAAACGGCTAGTGTTAACATTGTCCATGGTTAGAATAAGCTTTCAGTCGAGATGAGCTCAAATGTTCATGGTGGGGTACCACCAGGGCGCGTATAGTTCCTTTATGCATGACTTATAGTACAAGTTTAAAATATATGTGTATATTTATGATAAACAGAAGCTTTAGTAATAACTTCTTGTCAAAGTAAGATGAGATTTAATAATTAACTTTGTACATGATTTAATATACCAACATAACTACGTGTAAGCAATGTCATAAAATTTATAATATTATAATCATTGTATTGATTCATTAATTGGGTACCCTAGCTGTTATCGATATTTTAATCTGTAAATGTAATCTCAATAACATCTCACAAGGTTTGACCTGCTAAGTAGACTTAGGTTAGTCAAAAATCCATATACTAAGCTAACATTGTAAAATAATCCTCGCATTAAGAACATGTATAATAGATCAGTGAAAGATAATATTATATATATTGTTGCGTCATCGAGGTCACGTGACTAGTGTGGCGCCACCTATTTTCTAGAACTATCCTGTACCTTGGCGAATGCTCTAGTATTTACTAGATATAGGGTAGCCTGGTATATAAAAGAGGGTGTCAACGTGACGGGAAAATAATGTGTGTGTGTAGGTAATGAGTAATTGAACTGCAGTCAGAGAGAGACGTATTGTTGAAGTTAACGTTCGTTGATACAGTGTTTGTTTTAGCGCGAATGTTGAATACAAGTGTATCGTAAAGTTATATTTCGGAAAG